GCACATGCTGAATGTGCTCCTCCTCAGTGCAGGAGTAGATGAGGATGTCATCAAGGTATACAATACAACATGTGTCAAGAAGGCCGCTGAGGGCTCAGTGTATGTAAGATTGAAAAGTTGCCGGTGCATTGGCAAGGCCAAATGGCATGACTTGGTATTCAAAATGTCTGTATCTTGTGCGGAAGGCTGTTTTCCATTCATCACCCACACAGATTCTATCCCACGGGGGTCGGCGTAGTCACGGAGACTGGAATTGGGGTTTGGCTCTTAACTATGGGAGAAAATAAGTGGGTCAACGGCGACTGGAATTGGATTTTCCCACCATGACTTCGAAGGTTATATCAGCTCCGATTAGTCTCAAAATTTGACAAGTTATAACTACATAGGTTATTTACCCCCCATTCACTTTAGAGCTTGCACAGGCTTATATTGGGTGAGATATTTGTGATGGAAATCGGCCGATTTTTTTGATGGGGGATCGGAAGTCCGCCCATTCACTGCAACCAGAGCCCGCTATCTGATTATGCTGCACGTGACCCATCAGAGATACATCTCCGCACTGACACTGCATTGCAATTCTTCGTACAAGAATCCCATAATACTCAAACTATATCCTGTCTATATATAGATCAATTTCATCAGTATGGCAGACCAATTTTTCACTCAATCCCATGAAGTGCCAATTATTATTTGCAAGAAGTGCCAATTTGCAGTACGACCTAAAGAGATAATTCGACACCTCCAGAGCACCCACCATCGGCTACCTTTAGCTATAGCCAGGCAGATCGACATCGAAATCCAGACTTGGGATAGGATTGAAGCATGCACTCAGTGGACAGTACCAACCACAGTCACTGAGCCCATCCCTGGGCTTCCGATTTACACAGATGGCATTTTATGTAACCAGATATTGGGGTGTGGCTTCATTGCTCGATCAATTGCAACAATGCGGACTCATTGGCGTACAGAGCACCAATGGTCTGCACTACAAGGCCGTGGCAATTCCAGGCATGAGGACCGTATGGCAGCTGAGCAGGACTTCCAGCAGGCCACTGTCATGGTTTCATGCCAGCGGGCTTTTACCCA